GGACCAGGCTGGATCAGAGGTAACATCAATAACTTCTTCTCCTGGTGGATACTTTTAAGGAGGGAGGCCGTCCATGCACTTTTAATTTTGGCCAAAAGTTTGGTGTAACGAATGATTTGTTAAGACTGTTATGGCCCTGAAAGTTTAATGCATAAGTTGGTGGGATGTAACAGAGTTATCAAAGCAGATATTGTTGCTTACACAGTGAGCGCCAGTCGAAGGATCTATAACAACTTAGAACTCCAGCATTCATGGCCAACGTTCTAATGCACACTTGAAGTTTTTTCACGGACCAATACTTTAGATGCTTGGTCTGAAATGACGAAACCGGTTTTACATAAGAACCCTGCAGTGTTTTCCCTGAACGCTGTAATATGCCTCGTTAGAAAAACAATAAAAAGGGTCCTTCTGAAAAACTGCCGCCAAAAGTTAAGAATCTCTTGATGATGGCCTAGCCTGCACTGAAACTGTCAGAATAAAATCAACGAGGTTTACTTCCTAAAAGTTATATACAATATTAATGAATCTACTCGGGTACTGAGAAGCAGTACTAGCAGAACCTTGTTTTACAGAACGCCCAGAGGCGTATCGCTTTCCGGACATGGAACCTTCGTTAGGAATTTTAGCGACAATTTCATAGCCCACTCAGTGATTTACCGCAGTTGTCCCTTGATTTCAAAGGGCTGTTCTACAGCTCTGGATGCTTAAAACCGCTTTTTCCTAAGTCAAAAAGAAAATGAGGCGTTCACCGGGGGAGGTGCATTGGAGGTCTGACGTTCCGAGTAGTCGTTTCCTTTACCCATCTTTAGAGACTGGGATGTTGTACGCAAAGCTCTTCCTATATGGCTCAGTTTGTTTGATGCGTGGCCCGCCAATGACGCCTATGTGGATGCATCCGACCCGCATGTCAACGTGACCTAAATCGCTTCCGCCCTCGTTGGCCGCGGAGATAGTTGACGACCCTGAGTGTCTCCGCCGTGACTGTCCCCCTAGGTTTTTCTGTTCAACTTAACAAGCTAATCTTGAAATGCTTGACGCAGAACATTTTATGCCGGTCATGCATTAAACGCACGTGCAATCGCCGACAAGCCATTAGACTTCGTCTCACCAACCTGGTGTTCGTCGTGATTATAGTTTCAACCATGGTTATCGACAATGTTCAAATTGTTTCCCACCACAGGGTGGGCGCAGGTATGTTGACCTTGCGTAAATTGGGTTGTAGTGATTGTAATCTTGAGCTGGATCTATCGCACTCTCTCTTCCCCCATCCACCTGATTTCGGCGTCAAGAAGGAGTCGAGAAAATGGGGGACAAGTTCATTGTGGTGACTGTCTACGCACGCCACAAACAGCTGTTCCGCGCAGCATGGGCCAAGTTCTGGCGAAAACAAAAAAGTGCGGTTCTGATTCCAACTGAGTGGGAGTGTCATAAAGGCTACATTTCGAAGGTGACATTGCAGACTGACTGTACGTCCTGAGGGTAGGAGATCGGAGTTATCTTGGGAGGTGTCAGACTTCCAAATCTAGGCTTTAGGCGTACTGGGATGATTTAAAGGTGTATCAGATGATTTGTGCTGGAGGATGTGTAATGAGTGCTATGGAACAGAGTCTCATTTTCTTTTTCCTCATCCTGCCACCAGTCCATTGTTCGAGCCGTTCAGATTTCTGATGCGGTGATTGGATCGATATCAGAAAACGGTAACAATCGGGAGATGGCACCCAAAAAATCCCCTACCTAGAAATAATACCTTTAACAGTGTACTCAAACGCCTTTAGGTTATGTCAGCGGTCGCAGGCCTACTTTCACGCAGTACTTCGACTTTCCGCGACGGCCTAACAGGGGCTGGCCGAACTAACATTGCAGGAGGTTACATGTAAAATGGTCACTGTTACCCAACCTTCCCCATACTTGCACACGTACACCTGAATATACGGCAAACATTCGCATTATGGCAGTTTATTACAAAATAAAATCACTTTTAAATAGGATAAGTCTGCACAACATGGGACAGGAACAGTTCCCAGGCATCTGTCAAAGACATGGAATTGAGGCCAAACCAAAGACGATACTGTACTTCGTCTATGTGAGCCCACACAGCTCGATCACATACAGGGCCTCCCTCGTGTAGTTTCCTTTTCTGTCTACTCCAGTAGGCCTCAATGGAATTGGTGTGCCGTCCGGTGGTAGGGTCCTTTAATTTCTTTGAGTGGTTAACAGAGGAATGTAGATAACCTCCTGAGGGAAGAGGATCATACGCTTTCCACTCGTCCGTTACCGCTATACTGTCTTTGGCGACCCATTTTGTAATAACGGAACGGAGAGCGGGCCAGCTTCGATCATTCGCTTGTTCAAATAGGCCTTTCTGTCGGCTAGTATCGTACATCCGAACCAGCCACCACCCATTAAACCCCTATTACCACCTATCCCGTAAAGCGGGCTGCATTGGTTAGGCGGATTGTTACCCAGAAAACATTTTAATATTGGCTACAATGCTTCTCTGCGGCACGATCGTCTGCAAAGCATGTAACAGGGATGAGCAAATATACAATCAACAGACTCGTATTCATCCCCGCTTGGTTTTATACAGCAGGTCTCGAATATTATAATTATTCGACATTCTAAAACATTATCTAAGGCGAATTACGCAAATGGGACGGGTTATAAAGCTTTGTACATACAGCCGGCGATGCTAACCTGTCACTGGCAAACGGTACCTCGGTTTACTAGCATACACCAGCAAATGTCGGATAAAATGAGGGCCTATATTCATTTTACGTTGTTATAGGTAGTAATGTCAGTTTGAGAGAAGTTTCTCTCGTGTACGTTCCTGCGTAAAAAATCTGTATTTAGATTCGTAGTTGAAGGTTAACCTCCCTTATCGACAGTATCTGTTCCTATTTCGTTGATATTTCTGAAGGTGGACAGTTCGTTAATTTCGCACTAGGTAGACAGGGCTCTTGACCGCTGGTAACGGGCAAGTTTTCCCATACGCCAAGTTGTCTGGATTTTCATAAGCAAGCATAAAAAACTGTCAAAACTGCCAAATAACTCCTGTAGCCCGATAAACTCCTGGCCTTAAAATGTGACGGCACTAAATAGAAATTACAATTCAGCATACACAAAATGTGCTTTCCTTTTAGGACCTACCGTGTTTTGCGAAACTAGCGCGTAGCAGAACTGGAAGGGGTTTATTCTGGTTATAAAATTTGTATAAAATGATGAGTCTTCAATGCCAGTAAACTGCTCCTTACGAAAGTATATTGAAAACTATAAGATCATCAATTTCGTAATTCAGCACTCACTTATGTAATCATATTGCCCGAACAAATTTACGAAAAACCAATTTCCACTTGCTGAAATTTATCTAATTTGCGGCTCGGTATCCTTGATCTAATTATGTTAACCGATATTTTTGAGGTCTATCTTCTTATTTGGTAACAAGTTATGCCTTTTTTCAATTTTTTATATGAGGAAAGGCTGTCTTTCTCTTTTAAAAACCTCTTTTACTTCCCAGATAATTTTGAACCCGACCTACCGTTGCACCTGCACTTAGGGTTTCAGAACTGCGTACTGCACCTTTCCCGTGTAAGTAAAACCAGAAGATTCTCTATGCAGTGAAAATTCATATATGACTCATAAAGTTAGCAATGGGCAAGGATTAAGTCGCAAACTTTATAAACCGTAGTAATAAATGTGCAGACACGTTGCCTTACGCAAAACCTCACATTAAGGAAGCGTTTTAAAAACGAAAGACGTGATTTACTACGAAGAGAGAATATATTTGAATATAAAGGGCATACAGTATTGATAGGATATATACACAATAATAGATCAGTTCGTTTTAGAGGATGTACCTTTTCCGGACGGCCGAAATGACCCTCGTTCAAAAGCACGCATCCTAGCTTGGCTGAAATATCAAGGGATTACTCTGTGCGATAATTAAAATTAGAACCCTACTTAAGCAATCTTGTCGAATTGAGAACACACTTGTTATTTTCGGTCACAACTTCATGAAATATTACATCTAACTTGCAAGGATATTAGTTTAAGTTATTTACTTTAACCCGGCAGCATAAAAAATGATTTATAGCTTACAAATTTAAAAACCATGCGCAAGGTGGCCGAAATGTATTGATTTTGCAATCACGTTTATTTTTTGTCCTGCACTTGGCGATATGTTTCCCTCAGATTGCTTTGACAATAAAAAATATTTACAAATGCCACAATCTTGAAGCATCTACCCAATAAACAATATAGTCCAATTATTAAGAACCCATTTTACGGGCTTTGAAAGGCGAAACTCCGGACAGATAAGCCAAATAAATGTTGTCCGAAAATGTTTGCATGTAAGGAAAATATTTTTAGAACTGGATCATACATGGTGTTCGATGGGCAGTGTTCGGAGCAGAACGTTCAAAGTGTAGACTAGTCGTTCAGTGAAAAAGTTGAACCGAGCATGATCAACCCGTGCGGAACTCTCGTAAATGTTTATACCACCAATTTGACGGTCATCAAGATTTTAAGGCACCCACAAACTAATATTTAGACTCGTTTTGGTCATTCTTCCCGATATGCCATGACTGCATGGGCGTTTCCGGATGGCCCGGCAGATGATTAGGCTTTCTGGTCTTCCGAAAGGCGGCTAGCTTGATTTAATTAACCTTGACCATCAGGCAGTTATTCACCTGCCCACCAATGTGCCAATTTAGTGACTCAGATTACGGCTGGTGCCTACTAGAACATTACTTCCTGCATTCAGCAAAACTGCCATTGGCGGTATCGACCTCTGGCCGCCCCGAAGATAACCTACGAAACATAGATGTGACCTTTCGTAAGTGCTGCGAATAGGCTATACAGACAATACTAAACTCAGTCTTTTTTGGTGCCATTATTTCAATAGATGGATGGCAATCACGGCATACAAGATGAATGCAAAAATGATTAATTTTTTAAGTCGCAAAAATTGGGAAAAAATCGCCGGCTCGCAGAAAAGTTTACAGATGGTGGAGATGTTCCTAGGTAGTGGTGAGGCAGAACTGCACGTAACGAAGGACAGCTGGTACTTTCTCATTTACAGTGAGTGGCCGATCTCATGAAATTTTAGCCAAAATTCGCAAATGCGTTTCCGATTAGGAAGGATTTCTTAGGTGGTGCTCTAATACATATTACCTCGCAGCATAGTCTGATGATATTTCGGACTCCGCAGGCCGTCCGTTTTTGATAACATTGCTTTTTAATCTCCTGTAGAAACTGTACTCGATCAAAGATGACTGCTTAAAGAGCATGCATTTTTCATATTTATTTTTGATATTCTTATAAATTCAAGCATATTTTATAGAAAACATGAGAAAAATAATCTTTATTTTGGTAGTTTGATAGAGAATTATGTTTTCTTCATATCTTATGCTCGAAGAAGGAGTATAATGAGGTTTTTAAAATTTTCTAATTATTAGATTTTTAAGACCGTGCAATGTCCATTCATACAGGATCGTACCTCTCCGTTTACCGCTGCTCCTCAACAAATGTACAACGTAGTCCGTATTCATTGCGAAATTTTATAGACTCTATATGGTATCTTTTAGAGGCATAGAAGAATATGTGATTTTTTCTTTCGCGGAACTCGTATGTCTTGCAGACTGAAATCACTAAGCGCTAATGCAACGGCTAATCCGGTTCCAAATTATTCGGCAGTCAAAAAACTTTTCAGAACCTACTTACACTCCTTCTTTGAGCATAAAATATGAAGACGACGTAGTTCTCTATCATGCGAGTGACAGAAAGCATGTTTTATTCATATTTCAATAAAATATAATGAAATTTATAAGACCATCGAAAATCAATGTGAAAAATGCATGCTACTTAAGCAGTCCTCTTTGTCTAACTACGATTTTTACAGGCGATTGAAAAGCAATGTATGCAACAGCAGATATCCTGCCGAGTCCGAAATATCATAGGACTATGCCGCGAAATAATATGTATTAGGGCGCCACCTAACTAATCCTTCCTAATCGGAAACGCCTTTCAGAATTTTGGCTAAAATTTCACGAGATCGGTCAATCATTGTATTTTACTTACGAAAGCCTGTGCGGTGGCACGTCTGGGCGCGTGTTCACGTTGAGCCAGACATCCGCACCCAATTCCCACGTCACAGTACTGGCCAGCTCGGACAGTAGACTGGTGCCCGGGAAAGTGAAAAGCGAAAATGAAACCGATTCCGGGAGTCTGGGTTCTCACCCCGCACAATCTAGCGTGCCAACCGACGGGGTATCTCGGTCCTCCCATCGGGATGGAGAGTGAACCTACAATGGCTCCTTTAGTGAAGTCTCTGTGACACCCCCACCGAGATAGCATCTAGCCTCCCCCTTGCCATTTCTGTGAAAACTCGGCCCCTCGTGAGCGGATCGAGCGTGTAAGGCACGCGTAGACGGTCTGTTTTCGGCCCTTCAATCACTGATTCCGGTCCCACCTCCGGTCTTTTGGCCTTTTTCAGAACACCGGACGCAGTTAAGTGAGGGAGGACAGCGTGAGGTAGATGCAGAGCACGTTTATTATCCATGTAAACTGATTCACACGCATGTCACCGTCCCTGCGCCGAAGTCATCGTGTGGCGCACTGTGAATGTCATCGGTAACGGCTGTCGAAAGGTGCTGTGTCTAACGTACTTACCATGTGCGTAAAACTACACGGATTCAGCCTCTTATTACACTGCGGAAGCCTGAGCAGCCCGGGGCCATTTAATCTGGGGAGCAATTGTGCTGCAAAAAAGAGTCGAACATCCAAGAACTTTGTGGTATCACAGATTCTGATCCTCCCTGCTGTTAGCAATCAAAAGGGGACATTATTTTTACCATTTAATGATAGTAATAAATGCATTTAGTGCCCATTTGGAGGCATTGTCAAAAATACATTGCATTGTCGTACTTTTTTGATGAATATCTTAAAGCTTCTTGACCAACCTAACGCGGCAGCCGCCGAGAGGTCTTTTCAATCCTTTCTCTGGCGCCTACAAATAAATATCGCCAATCATTAACGTTTAGCACAGTTTCCCCCGTAGAAAGCAACTCCGAGCGTAAACCATACCCTTATCGCCTGAACAAAGCTCATTCGTATAGGGCAACGAGTCGCCTCATGCATTCATGCAAGATATAACTTTAAGTAGGTTTTTCGTGCAAATTTTTAACTTGTTAGTTTTATCAAGTGCATGTTAACATTCCGATTTATACACTGGGCAGAAAACGCTTTCTGCCTTATTAAACATGCTAATTTCACACAATGTGCATTCAAATTAGCTGCAGCTCGAAACATCAACAGACACGCATAATTTTCCATTGTTTTCACGCTCACATTAGAAGAGCGGCCAAAAGGAGGCATTAAATAAATGAAATTACAATCAAAACAGACTTAGAAGCAACAATCAGGAGAATACAGTAGATGTGCTAACTCATGAAATGTCAACCAAAATTTCGAAATGCATTCTCGTTTCGAAAAGATTAATTAAGTAGTGTTGTAAAAATAATCATGATACAGCATACATCTATAATGCTCCAGTTACCCCAGGGTGTCGGCTTTCGAAAGAACATATATTCGGCTGCATACAACATCTATACTCTGCAAGACATGACTACTTAAATAGTATGCAATTTTCTCATTTATTTTCGATAACCCTCGAAAATTCAATTATATTTTATGGAAAAAATGCATAAAAATATTCCTTCTTTTACGTATTCGGTAAAAAATAACGTCTTATTCCAATTTCATACTCAAAAGAAGAGTATAGTTCGGTTTTAAAAACTTTTCTAATTCCCGAATAATTTTGAACCCGACATGCTGTTACACTTGCATTCAGGGTTTCAAAACTACAAGCTGTATATTTTCTGTGTACGGAAAACCATGCATTTCTCTACGGTGTTAAAAGGAGACCATATGAGGTTCATAAAATAAAGCAGTGGATTTGAGCAATATTGTTAACTTTACGAGCCACATGGGTAAATGCGGAGACATGACGTTTTATGAACGGCCATTTAACGGTATTAAAAAATCTCACAATTAGAAACTTTTTCAAAACCGAATTATACGCTTCCTTCGAGTACCAAATTGAAGAAAGGCGTAATTTTCTACCGAATGAGCGAAGAAATGAAAATTTTTATGCATGTTTTACTCCGTCGACCAACGATTCCGGTCAAATTATGTCCGATTATAATTTCAGTGGGAAAGTAATGCTTGGTTGAACCGATTTTTGCGGCGTGAAAGAACGCCCGAAAACATTTTGCAACCCAATTTTCGACCAAACAAAGTCTTAATGTTGTCATGCGGTATTGAGGAAAACAGGGCAGCAACGTCCAAACGACAGAATGCATTTTTCAGTACTTACTTTAAGGCCTTGGGTCTTCGGAAGGCATGCCTAAGCGTTTTGGCGCTGTACTGCGACCCATCAGGAAGGTGCTTTAGGTACCTGTATATTGCTTGGCAAGGTTATAAGTAGGGTATGCGATAAGCGGCACTATGACCCTCATTGAAGCATCTGCCTTCTGCCCCTTTAGGAGACTGTGAGCATGTGTGACACGGAAGTCGCTGGAGGTCATGAATCTGGAGTCATTGGGACACATGCTCTTCAAATGAGCAAGCTCATTAATCGTCTGCTTTATAGCCGCCACCTGCACCTTCGTTGAGTCTGCAGCGAAGGGTGCCTAGGTTTCCGTTTCATTGGTGATTAAATGTGACTTGCTAATGCGGTCAGTCTTGTTCATAGTGGCAGTTGCTACATCGTTGGCAGCTGAGAGTGTAGCTCGACGCTTATGGACGTCCAAACGCAACATTTTGTAGACAGGCTTAAGCCCTGCTTCAAGAACCATTGTCAATTCATGAGAAGTCAACGGCACCCTAATGAACGCGCTAGTATCGGGGTCCTTGAAGAACTAATATTACAGAAACTAGAAGAGGATGTCGCGCAAACCTCCACACAAAACTGTGGCTCCGTTACATAGATTACACATTTGTCATCGTAAAATCCTGCAAGGGTGAGCAATTACACCAGAGCCTAAATGATTTTTTGGCTATACAGTTTACTCGCAAAGAGACAACTGGAGACAACCTCCCGATTTTAGACGTGAGTATACAGCGACTCAGTAATGGCCGACTTGCAACAAGCGTTCACGGACAAGACTCTAAAGCATAAACCATCCTTGACAAAGAAAAGAATTTCTGTCCGGGCTCTTTCCTGTCAAGCCTTTTGTCACTGCACCAGAGATTAACTACTTAAAGTATAATTGGCATAGTTATATCGGTTAGTCCGGTCCAATGGGCATCCGAGCAGCTTTATGAAAAATTGTCTCAGACGACAGAAACAAAGCCTAGATTCTAACTGCTGCTCAAATCCTGCTCTCTCCTTTACTAGCTGCAGGGAATTTCCGAAAAAATCTTCCGACAACTGAAACGCTTTGACATTTCCATCGGCCATTCCTCCGCGTCTCCTGTACTCGCAACATCATGCAGAGCAAAAGACCCCATACCCAAAGAGCAAATCATCAATTTCATTCAGCATATAACCTGCGTTGACTGCTCTTGTCTGTACGTTGGCCACACAGGCCGACGTCTTAGGATTCGCGTTAACGAGCATAAGTCAGTCAGTTGCCACCGTAAATCCTTGTTCCTCCCTAGATACTGAAGTGATTGCCGAGGCCAAAAGCAAGCAGATTCGAGAATTCTCCGAAGACTGGCATTGTAACATGACCAGCAATGCCGACCTGGACGACATCTACGAGGAGTTACGTGCAGAGCTCACTAACTTGCCCCTAACCTTTAGTAACTTATCCCTGCTCCGCCACGCAGATTTCCACTGTCTCGCCGCTCCCTCCATCCGATACGGCGGACCACAACCTAAACTCCTTACACCTTCAACTCGGCGTAGTGACTTCTGACTCCAGCTGCCCGCATCTCCACTGATCTACTATCCCCCTTCTTCACGGGAGGCCGTAACTGCTCTCCCTCCCCTACCTCCATCCCAAAACTTACCGCAATTCAGTGCGTCTCTCCCACTTACACTAGCTGTCCGTCTGTCGCTCGCTGTCCTGCCTCGCGAACCGTTTCATTCGAACGATCTTACATTTCCAACTGTTCACGTCGCCTGAAAACGAGCTAGTGTCACTAATTTGAAAATTCACGAGTACATCTCGATTTAAAGCGAAGCCTTTACTTTTTTTCTTTATATCATCTCGGGATGCAAGTTACGTTAGTTATTCTACATATATATATATATATATTTCGTGGAAAACTGAGTCCTTCGGGAAATCGAACAAACCTTCTTTAGTAAATACCTGACTCTGGTTACCCAGGTCGTCGTCAGACGGGTAGAAAACATGAAAAACAGTTTAAGTATAAACAGGCCGGAAAAGCCAATGCTGCTTTGTCAATGCTGCGAATGGGTTGATGTTGCGGGTCGACATCACGCCTTGATTAGCTATCATTTGTTCCGTTTTTTCTTTGAGATCTGTGCACATGACGCCCAGATCGGTGCGCCGATTGATGAAGAAATCTCCAGCCTGGAGGAGAGGAGGGGGGAGAGAACAGTTGCGGTCCCCATCTTGGAGGGCTTAGAACCCACCGTGACACCCTCTGCCTATATCACCTCTATCAAACGCTAATGGTCCGCCTGCCAATGTCTATCCTGTCGCGTCAACTAGTCTAGTGTGACTGTCTCACTCCCTCGTTCGTTTTCATTTCGACTGACGACATTTTGGTGTCGCCAACATGAAAATGCATGTGTGCAGCTTGACTTTATGCGAAGAAAGTCTTCCTTTTCACATATATTGCTGGTTGGAGCGAGAATGTGCGTTCCCGGACAAAACTGAAAAGGTAAGGTGATCAAAGGAACCAGCGATTTATTGTTCTGACGTTTCGAAAGCAAGTAAGCCTCCATTATTGGAGGTGGTTTGCGTACGGCACGTCGCTGACCACGTGATGCAGCGCGATGGAGGCCAGTGGCACGACAGCACGAAGAAAAACCCTTAGGTACGGTGACCTGCCGTACGCAAAGCACATCCAACGATGGAAGCTTATTTGCTTTCGAAGCGTCAGGGCAATAATACCCTGGTTTCTGTGATCGCCTTGCCTTTATATATATATATATATGTTGGAAAGGTAATACCGACAAAGACAAGGGAGACCGGAATGGCCATTTCTGGCTTATTAGCCGTCATCAGCCAGTCATACTCAACCCCAAGTACGGATCACTTGAGATTCGAACCCGGGATCTTTGGTCATGGAGTTGAACGCTCTACCATTGAGCCACGGGTCCGTTGTCCTGTCGGTTGTGATCGGGAATATTAATTATGATAGTGGGCGCTCACCGATCAGGTTACGGAACAT